CTTAATAATTAAAAGGGATATACAAATAACAAACCAAGAGAGTGACTTGGATAATTTTCTTATATTGGATTTACAGAAGTGGCTTGTTAAAGCTTTGAAGACTTTTGTGAGAAGGGACAAAGAAAAAATGAAAAGAAATTAAGTTCTATGACATTATTTGAAGGGACTAAAGATCAAGATTGCTAGAAGTAAAAGGAAAGAATATAGAGTTGGTTTTTTTGATTAAGGTTAAAATAGACTAGTTGTTTTTTCTGGTAACCCTTAATGGACTTTTGCTGATGTCAGGCTGAAATGATGAGGCTTTAAGGATTTGTTTATAAATAAGAGATGGAATATGGGAAGAAGAAATCATTTGTTGTATTTTAAGAGGTGATAAGTTACTAAAATTGTTTATACCTGTTGTGATAAAGGTTGGAAGTCACTTTATATATTTCTTTTCTTTTTCTTTACTGTATTCTTATTTTTCTTTCTTTTCTATTTCTCTTTCTATTTTTTCTTTCTTTTCTGCACCTTCTATTTTTTCTTTTTATTCTTTTCTCTCTTTGCATTAGTTTTTACTATTGTAATTGTAATCTTTAATAAAATTACCATTAAAAAATAATTATTATGAGCCTACAAGGGCTGAATGAATTAACCTACTTTAATAACATAGGTATTTATTGCAGGCACTTGGCCTGCTGGCCTTTCTCAGCTAATCTCTAGGATTGGAAAACAGAACTATCTATAATTAATAGAAGCTGTTATCTCAAAAGAAGATGTATTTTTTTGATTTAACCAGGTTTATCATGTGAAAAACAAAAGTTCTACAATATAGGAAAATATATTGAACAAGGATTAATTATTAATGCATTTCATGTGGTTAGGCTGAATGATCAATCTGTGATGGCTATTTCTGAAGGTATAAAGAGAGACCTCATTATTGTTAAGATACATATTTTGTGAATAGTAATGACAATTGGAAACCGGCCTCTTGTCAATATTTTTTCAGCTACAAACAAAGGCAACTAGGACGTCTTTAAAAATGGGAAGCAATACATATGATAGAGAGCTGGGTGATAGATGGATGCTGTATAGGATATACTAATCCAAAACAAAGATAATTTGTATCCTT